ATATTTTATATTTATTAAAATACTTAAAATAAAAATTAACATTATATACGGTACGAATCCTTTAAATGGGGCTATGACGTATATCAAGAGATATAACCCCAATGGAATGGTAAACATAACTCCTCCGGTTCAGTTGCACATGGTTATCAATTTTGTTGTTTCAAATGGATCACCCTGTATATTATTTTGCAATGAATTTGAAAATCAGGTATTTGTTTGCTCAAACATTATTAATTTCAAGTTTTTGATAATAACATAAAATGCCCCTTTGAAAAAAAACATCAAAAATTTATTCTAAACGTTATCATAATCATATGATTTAAAAAAATCAACACTTCAAGTTATTTTTTTTCTTGATGGTGATATCGCTCAATAGACAGCATGAGTTCTAGTTAATTAAAACAAACCTTTAGTTTCATTTGAACTAAAAAGTGTAAAATAAATAAAGTAATTATCAAAAAGGCATTGAAAAGTCAACCACTAATAGCTCTATATAATAATCGTCAGTTAAACGCCTCTTAATACTTTTATTTAGAAATAATTTTTTATTTTCCGAATCATTTAAAAACAATAGCTTGTTTTTAAAAATGTTCGTTTGTTAACTGTTTTATTTTATACATTTTAGTTTTAATCACCATCTGAGTAGAATACAGACTTTTATTGTCAGCTTATTACCTCGACCTGCCATCTATTGCGAAAGTCCTAAATAGTATGTTGGCTTGTGTTTCAAGAACTCATCTTAATATTTACTTCTTATTAGAGTATCTATGATTGCTGAACTATAAGAATATAACCAAATTGCAAACGTCAAGAGCAAAATTCTATGGTCAAAAGTGGCTAAAGTTGGTGAAATGGTTAAAACGAAGTCAAAAAGGCCTGGAAATTTTACAATTTTTTGAGTTGTTTGTGTAGTATAAGTGTACCATCCAATAGCTCTTTATAAATTAATTAATTGTCCTGTAATACCTGTTAAAGTCAAAATAAACACGGTTTGTTTGCAATGCTTCAGGATTTTCAAACAGCAATGGGTAATTTTTTTTTAATTATTGCTTCCTATTTTACGAAACAGATAAAAATAAAGTGAGGGAACCTACATAGCTAGGTACAGTTAAATAAACAAATTTTTTTAATTTTACATCTGTTTTAGGGCCAGGAAAGCAGGTTAGATTACGAAGAATAAGACCTGCAGCTAGAGCTATTTCTGAGCCGCCAAAAGGTATTGAAAATTATTTTGGCCTAGGTTTAGTTTAAATTTTATATATAATAACTATGGGTTTTAAATTGTTTTATTAAATTAGGTATATTACTACATTATGAATTAGTTGGTGTTAATATATTTTCTTTCAGGTATTTTGAAGAATACTGTAACTTCTACTCCAAAATCAGTGACCTTAAGAAGGCCTAAAGGTAAAATTAAAAATAAAGTTATTCCAACCTAGAGTACCGACTGTGTACTTAGTAATATACATTATTAGAGCTGCTGTATTAATTTCAATTCAAAAAGTGTTAATTTAGTTAGGAGCAAATACATAAATAGAACATAAAAACATTATTGATTTAATATAATTATCTTTATTGCACCTTAGCTATAAAATTATTTACATATTTCTTCAGGCTTTGCTTACCACAACATTAATGCACCTAGAATATTACATTCAATAGAAATGACTAATAAATCAGTTTCTTGACATACTGTAGAATGCAAAATATTTCGTAATAACTGTTATTGCCCCGAAAAACTTTTTCTTCAGAAAGATGTAGAAATACGTTTAATTAAACAAAAGTGCAAAATAATTTCCATATTCTCCAAAGGCCTTATTAATTAATAAAATAAATTGTCTGATTAATAATGACTTAGCAACAGTTTTCTCAATTTTTTAGTCAGTGGTAAAACATTACATACATAATCTTAATTTAATTATTGCAAATGTGCCCTGAATTTTCTTTTATTACCCCGTGTTTTTAATAATATATATAATAATTTTAAGAGAAANTTTTATTTATTATTTTTTTAGCAGACGTAGGGATTGTTACTAAAACGAAAAAAATACAGGAAAATTTGAAAACTCTGGAAAAAAATACTGAAAAGAAAAGGATTGCACAGGCATTATATTATGGAGAACCAGGACAAAGTCCGTTAACCAGGACTACTGTTATTACTAACCAAGAGATTAAGAAACCAGTGCATGCTAGATTGGGTAAAAAAGTGCGCCTATATAGAGCTCCACTTATCTTTAACAACAACAGAATAATCAAATCAAAAAACCGCTTTCAAAGATCAAATACAGGAGTTCGTCGTTTATTTAGTGTTCAAGGTAGGATTCAGAAAATTAGAGAACAGCAAATTCTACAGCGTCAAAATATGGTTGACGGCCAACAAATTGTTTCAACCAGGCCCTCTAATAAGATTCGGCTGCAAAGAACTCGTCCTATTACCCCCTTGAAACCTACAAATTTAACAGTGCAAGTGACTAATAATAAAAACTCTCCTAGATTTGACACTAGCTCTTCTGGAATAGCTAGACATAATCCTCTGGGATGCTTAAACCCAAAACTTCAAGCAGAAATAAAGTTTTTACAGAGGAGCTGCGGTGTTAGAGCCCCTTTGAATATACCATGTGAACCTATTTATGTTGAAGGTGTGGGATACACCGGTGTGTCTTTACATGAAAGATTTTCGCTGTTATAATTGTTTTTGTTTATTTCATAAGCTTAATGTTCTTTTTATGTAATAATTTTTTTATTGTAAGAACTTTTTTATTTTTTAATAATTTGCGATATTTGTTTCATTTTTAGACCGGTAAGAAATGAATATCACTATTGAGAATAAAAATAAGTTACCATTTCAAAAGTAATGTATCATTAATCTGAAGTAACCAATATAGTTTATTACGGCATTTCGAGAGTTTAAATTAAACCATCTACTGTATTTATAAATAAAATTCATTGTTAAGCATTGGTGTCTTTATTATAAATTCAGAATTACTTAAACGTTTTGTAATGATCGACTCCTAAACATCCAAACCATTATTGGGTACTGTTTGTATAAAGAATGAAGAAAAACAGCATCAATAAACAACATATATATGCGAACGAAGATGTTTGAAAATAGAGATGAAACTACGCATTGGAAAACCGTCATTGCTCTCAGATGCTTTTACACAGCATTTTTTCTTAAACTTTGTCATCATCTTAGATTCTTTTTTGTTCCAATATAAAATGAATTATTTTGTCTTGATAATATAATGTTTCCAAGCTAATTTTAAATAGGATTACTACTACCGTCCGTGGTAAAAATTTTTCATCTTGTGTATATACCCAACTGCTCATAAGAAAAAAAGCAATTTTGCTTAAATAGACATGAAAAAATCTTTAGTTTTAACAACTTCACGATATAAAGTCATATATTCATACGAATTGTTAACTTAGAGAGGAATCTTGTATAGAAATTCAAGTAGAGCATCATTATTTCTATTGTTTCGTACAAACGCACTAAACATTTGAAAAACGTTATTTACTGTCAAAGTCGTCAATCATTTATATCAAATATCGTATTTTAAAAAGTAAATTATTTTTTGGGTAATACTTTTTTGTTTAATAAAGTTAGAAATGATTGGACAGCAAGTAAAGAAAATTTCCGTTTCTTTACTATCTAAAACGATTCCTGTATTTTTACAAAAAAAGTTAGGACCACTTTGTTACCAAATCCGAAATTTAAACGTTCATGAGCACATCAGTTATACACTATTACGTGAGTATGGAATACCAGTTCCCAATTTTGGGGTGGCGACAACTAAGGATGAAGCAAAAAAAATTGCTCAAGGTCTGAAAACTAACGATCTTGTTGTAAAAGCTCAGGTACTAACTGGTGGACGAGGCAAAGGTACGTTTAAAAACGGATACAAAGGTGGAGTACAACTGGTCAAAAGCCCTGACGAAGTTGCAGCAGCAGCCGAGAAGATGCTGGGCCAATTATTAGTTACTAAACAGACTGGGGCAGCCGGACGAATATGTAATAAAGTCATGGTCACTGAGAGGAAATATCAAAAGAAAGAATATTATATTGCAGTAATGATGGAACGTTCATTTAATGGACCGGTAATTATAGCATCTTCGGAAGGTGGTGTGGAAATTGAAGAAGTTGCAGCCAAAAATCCTGGTGCTATTATGTACGAACCAATTGATTACGCAAAAGGACTTCAGAAGAGCCAAGCAGAAAAAGTGATTAAGAAATTAGGTTTAGAAAAACAAATGGATTCAACTTTGAAATTGCTTGATAACATGTACAAGCTTTTCAAAGAGAAAGACGCCCTTTTAATTGAAATTAACCCTTATGCGGAAGATAAAGAGGGTAAATATTACGCTTTGGATGCCAAATTCAATTTCGACGACACTGCGTTTTACCGACAAAAAGATCTGTTTAGCAAGAGAGATTGGAGTCAGGAAGATATGAGAGAAGTGCAAGCGGCCAAGTACGACTTGAATTATATCGCTTTAGATGGCAGCATTGGCTGCATGGTCAATGGAGCTGGACTTGCAATGGCTACCATGGATATAATTACTTTGCACGGTGGTGTACCAGCCAACTTTTTAGATGTTGGTGGTGGTGCCACAAAAGAAGCAGTTACAGAAGCATTTAAAATTATTACAACTGATCCAAAAGTAAAATGTATTTACGTCAATATTTTTGGTGGTATCATGAGATGTGATATTATAGCAGAAGGAATCGTTGCAGCCATGAAAGAACTTAAAATGTCTCAACCCATTGTTTGTCGTCTTCAAGGTACCAACGCCGAAGCTGCTAGTAAAATTATTTCTCAATCAGGATTGAAAATTGAAGCAGAAAATGACTTAGACAAAGCTGCGAAATCAGCTGTTAGTAAAGCAAAGTAATGACAAAATTTAGTATGTTAATTTAAATTTATCTGCTTTATCTATCTTTATATATTTTTTTACGTATATATATACATAATATAATTTAATGTGCTTTATAAGAGTCACTGTTTTTAATAATTAATCGTGCTATTTTACATTAAAACCAATTTTATATTCTTAGGGCAATTGAACAAATTGCCGCTCTGGTTTAATTCGTCAATAGGTTTGCTGGTGTTTTGTAATCCTATTAATGTCCACAATGCTCAGCTGAAACAGAACTGCAATCTAAAACGCTGTTTGGGTATTCATATTCACTTTTTGCCGCTGTCATAAACCATATGGGTCTTTAAGGGAAGAGGGTTCTGGTAAAAGATTATTCTTAGCCATATTAATTGGGTTGGGGGGGGGGTCGATACCTGGACAATGTGATTTTTTATTGTTAAAAAAGGAAGCTTTTTCATCAATGTCTATTACCTACATGCAATAGATGATGTATATTCTGCGATAGACAGCGTACAAGAATGACTAACCTGGTAAACGTCTGTGAAAATTTAATTTCCAAAATGTTAAAAAGACAAGGAAGGATAAAATCAAGTAGTCAGAATAGACCTTTATGGTTTATAAACACCTTTTCTTCTTCTAGGTTGATTGTCTCATTTCCCCATATAATTAACTAACAGTAATCTTATCTAGGTCGTCCTCTGCTCTTTACCCCTTCTTCTGTATCTAATATGTCTCCAATTGGCCCCTCCTGTCTTGGAATTTGGAAGATGTTCTATCATCCTACCTCTCCATTTTCATATTGACTTTTATAGCGCCGTCTGTTCTCACAATCTCTTGAACAAAGTGTAAAGCTTCAAACTGCATTTACTGGACATATACTACTTTATTATTTTTTGAAAAAAAGATGACTGAAGGTGTATATGCATGGATTTCCCTTTAGCACGTCGTATTTTTCAAAAGATGAAATCACCCTATGATAATTACACGTAATATAAAGTTCCTCTGTTCGGTTCTCAATTCGCCTGCATCATCTGCAAATTTAAAGATGCTAATCCCTTCATCACTGTTACCGCTAGTTTTTAATCTAGACATCGAAAACGCGATCAACATCATTAAAGACAGGACAACTGTAACTGCAAAAGATTAGTAGGCTTAGATTTGCAGATAGTACAGCAGTATTAGCGTCTAGCAAGGAGGAGTTAGAAATAGCTTTAAATGAAAAGGGGGCGGTATTGACAAAACAGTATTGTATGAAAATAAATAAAAGTAAAACAAAAGTACGGGTACGCAAAGGAAGAAAAAGTAGGGAAAGAGCGAATATAAAGATAAGAGGCGAAAAATTAGAAAAAGTGGTTATTTTAGGTATCTAGGAAGTCAGATAAGTCAGGACGGAAGGAGTAGTAGGGACATAAAGCGGAGGATAGCGCAGGATCGAGTCGGCTGCACTTAAAAGAAGTCACTTCTATGCTTGTGAACGATTAATTTAGAAATTCGAAAAAGATTGTTAAAGGTGTTTGTTTGGAGGTCGGCGCTGTACGAGTGCGAAACATGGACGGAAAAGAAAAGGTTAGAAACGTTCAAAATGTGATGTTGCAGGCGAATGATGAGGATACTGCGCATAGAGAAGGTGAAAAATGAAGAGATATTTGAAAGAATAGGAAAACAGAGGACCCTATGGAAGTTAATAAGAAATAAGTATGATAGGTTAGTAGGACACCTTCTCAGGCATGAAGGTCTAGTCAGAGACATATTAGAGGCAAAAACGGGAGTTAGGAGGGGTAGAGGAAGATTAGATTACTGTTCGCAAATAGTTAAGGATGTGAGCTGTTCTAGTTTTGGGGAAGATTAGCTCAGGATAGGAAAGAGTGGAGTTGCGTTACCAACCAGTCTTAGGATTGACAACCTTATGATGATGAATCCCTTTTTCCTCTATATCCACGCCGAAAGTTACTCTGATTTTGATGTGTATCTTCTATATATCTGTATACGTCTTGATAGTAAATTAGCGTGGGTTACAATAAAACATATATATGTTGTGGATCGAGTGCATTTTGTTGGATGAAGTTGACTATTTATACATATAGAAATTTTAATTTGCACCAAGGGCGTCGATAGAGATTAAAATGAGTGGTATTGCATCTCCTGAAGTTAAAGTGATTGAAGAATTCTAATACATTAAAAACGTGGTGAAACGACGATAAAATTGCAGGTGTTGAAGAAACTAATGCGTTTCAAATCTTTTTACTATTTATTTTCGAACGCTGGTGCTATTTCTCCTATTTTCCCTTGTTCCTTAGTGTGCGCTAGTTGTTTCAAAATGCACATCAACAATCATAACCTACTCGAAATTTTGAAAAATTCCTGGTACCGAAATTAAAGAAGTAGGTATAGGTATGACCTTTCGATTTTGGAACACCTTACTATCAAGCTCTATCTTAATCTTGGGGAGAAGTTTCTTAATCGAGTTTATGTTGGTTCGAATATCTATACATAAGTTGAAAAAAACGAAAAGTAAATTTTAGCATTGCTAGAGTAACTTAGTAATCTAGTATCCTATAACGAAAAACTTCAAAAAGTTTGGTCGAATTTGGTAAATGAGTATTTTTTAACGAGTTACCTGAAACTTTAAATTCCTTTGGTTTAATTTAAAAGATTTACAAGGTTTACAACTGCCCTAATTTTTTTTTGGTTTTATATCTTTATTAAATACAAAAATTTTAATAGAGAGTAATAAGCAATAACAGTAATAAAATGTAAAATAATCAGTTAATGCTTTGATTGCTTAATTTCTGTATGAACAACCTTTATTCCTTGATCGAGTTGTTTTTACGTATGTCCAATATGAAATGTTTCGGATAGTTCTATGGTCGCATTTGTGGACATTATTATAATTAGGGCGATATGCTAAAGTTGTCATATTCACGTTAACTGAATAACATGAATAAGGTGAAAATTTGTGAGTTATAAGGTAAGTTTATGGAAAAAATTGCATTTACAGTTTATTTAAAACTTGTGAATAAAAATTAAAAATATTAAATTGCTTTACTGTTTATATTAATGTAGCAAACATTCTGCAATTATTGTTTCAACTAATATTGAGCTAATAGTTGTGTGGTCACTTTAAGAATTTATACAATCTACGTTCATAGAAATTGTTAGGGTCCTAGTTTAACAAACATCAAAGAATTTTTAATAAGGATTAAAGGATTTTTTTCTCATAGATTTTTAAGAGATCCAACTTTTCAAAAATCAAACTATTATCTAAATCTAAGCTGTTAAGGTTTCTGTTGACTTTCTGTCCGATTGGCTAATATAGGTTGCTTTGCAATCACTACAATATTAATCTTTTAAAATTCTGATCTTTTGATTTTTCTATTTTGCCTTTTACGTCTGCAAGGATCTAACTTATTTTTATTTACAGTAATAGCTTTTTGAATATTAAATAAATATTAAATATTACGTGATTACTTGAGTAGTACATGAGAGTAACAAAACATGCCACAAGAATCGATTAATAATCAAGAACGGCATGACCTAAAGGTAGGATCATTTCATAACACCGGCTAAATTTTCCTGTCCTAGTCTCCAGTTTTTCTGTGGTATCCTTGGATCATTTCTTTAGATAAAACTTCATTTCGTCCGTTTCATCTGTTTCTCCTAACGACCACATTCAGTCGTTTCCAAGGGGGGGGGGGCATTTAGGTACTTGCACCTATAGCTCATGGAGGAAATTTGAACTCAGTTTTATTAATAAATAAACTTGATAAACAAATTGAACGTCAATTGTCTCGAGTCTCCAATTACTTTTCTAAACAATCATGTTATCAATCAACAACCCTACAAACTAAATAGATTAAGCTTTTTAGTTTTTACAATTTCATCGCAATAATAGAACAATAAAAAGTTTTGGTTAAAAGTACTTAGTTGATTCTACTGCAAATATTTCATTGGGTCGAAGTTATTGTGGACTCAATCATTATTGTTATACATACATAGGCGGCATATTTTTCCTAGAGGACTTCTTGGGATTCGTTTTCCACAATTTCATACTTTTTTATTGTCAACGTATCTAAACAGAAGCTTAGTTCCCTTATTTCCATAAGATTTTACATCTACATACATGGTTCGGCATTTATCTGCAGCAATAAACTTACTGAAGTAATATTTTCCGGATATGGATAATCGTCAGTCCATTTCTTAGATATTAAGACAATTTACTACGGATGATAACATTATTAAAAACGAAGACGTAGCTGCCAAAGTGGAATATCTTGGACTACGCCAGAATACTACTTGCAGAGTAGAATTTCAAAATTATGATCTTAGCACATTTTGGCGAAAAGTTGATGCCGAATATCTTGCTCTTGCTAACGGAGCTTTAAAAATGCTTATAGCCTTTGCCACCACCTTTAGATGTGAGAATGGTTTTTCAGCTTTGGTTACACTGAAAATAAAGACCAGAATCTTTCTAAAAGTGGAACATGATTTAGGATGCGCTTTAAGCGAAATTAAAGCTAAAATAAAAAAAACTTGAAAAATGCAAAATAAAACCAAACATCACACTAACTATTTTTGCTTAATTTATTGTTTAGATATATAAAATTGTAAGTCTGATGTGCAATTTGTGATTATTAAAGATATTTGTATTGGCTTGTGTTGTTTGTATTGATAACATTTTAAGGTCAGGGTTTTCTTAATAGGTCACAGGAGTAACAATATTTAAAAGGTTAGGAACCACTGACTTAAGGGGTCGCCCTCGGATTATTTAGATTGACATGATGATTTCTAATTTGCGGTTTACCCACTATTGCCCCTTTGGACGGGGGATGAAGATACCTTCAGGCCGAGGTCTCCGCTACCAGGTTTATATCTAAAAAGTGAGCAAGACGCCGCCCTAAAATCATCTGGTGCGTGTAGGATCTACCTAATCCCTACCAGTCTAAGGATCTTGGTAAACGAGCAGATGATCGCCCATCGAGGTAACCCACCTCTAGCCCAGCACTACCACTACGAATCCAAATTCAATGTGGCAGGAAGATTTTCCGTCTGGGGTCCCAGAGCAGTCCGTAGCACCGATCTTCA